AAGTTTATTTAAGCAAATATTCACAATTTAAGTTTTTTACATACTTTATTCAAAATTAGATAAAATGATATATGTGTATAGTGTTTCTCCAATCTTATATTTCAGAAGCAAACAAAAAAATTATAAAAAAAATCACAGTTTAATACCAGTCATTTCACATGTTAATACAGTCAATTCACAACTTAATACAATAAATTCACAGATTAATATAGTCAACTCATAGTAGTCAACTCATAGTTTAAACAGAAAATTCACAGTTTAATGCAATCAATTTACTGTTTAAAACACAAAAATAACAACTTAATATAAGAAATTCATAGCTTAATGCAGTCGACCATAAAATAAATAAGTTAATACAAAAAATTCACTGTTTAATACAAAACAAGTATGCATTCAAAAGCATATTATCAACTTAAAAATTTTAATACTACCAATTCACAGTTTAATACAATTAATTCATAGTTAAATATACAAAACTCGCAGCTTAATATAGTCAATTTACCGTTTAAACAAGAAATTCACAGCTTAAATCATTCAATTCACAGTTTTAAACACAAATATCACAACTAAATACACAAACTTCATAGTTTAATACACAAAACATATGCATTCACAACTAAATTCACAGTTTAATACTTACCAAATTTCATTGAGGCATTTTATCAAACAACCTGTGTGCATCTTTTTTTCAGAACTTCCTTTTGTAAACACCATCAATGTAAACACCGTACACACACCAGATCTAACCTGAAAATGGACAAACACATCAGATCTGGTGTCGATTTGGTGGTATTTTGACCAGAGATAAAAGAGACAGAGACGGAAACGAGTTATAGATGAGAAGGAGGCGACACATAACAGATCTGGTACAAATCCGACAAACATTTCGCCGGTGATGGAACATATAAGAGAAAAAAATAAGTTCAAGAGTTCTGGAACAAAACGAGATCAATATTAGCACCTGTAGGTTGAGATGATGACTATGATTTGTGATTTTTAATGCTCCGACAATGACACCAACGGTGGGGGAATAGATCTGATGTATATCCAACAATGGAATGATGAAATAGAAAAAAAAAACCTTTGTATAATAACAACAACTTCTCGGATCTACATCAGATCTGAATTGATCTGGTGTAAATGAAGATAAATGCAGTCTCCAGTGGTTGTTTGAATAAAGAAGTAAATATGGAGGTGGTCGGACATCTGGAGGCGACAGAGAGCTTCATACTCCGTCACATCTGTTATTCCGGCGAAGCAGATCGAAGAGTTTTTCTCGTGCTTCATTAGATCTGAAACGTTGGAGATCTGGAGAAAAAGCATATTCAAACTTCAAAATAGAGTGAGGTGTTTTCTAGGTGTTCCAGCAAAGCAAAGCGGCTGATGGAAGGCGATAGTGGGTGCTGGTGAGATAGATGACGGTGGAAGGAGGCGGTGCTCGGTGGTGATGGCAAATCTGAAGTCGAGGGTTCTAGATCTGAAGGCGAATGCACCAGATCTGAAGGTGAATGCTTCAGCTCTGAAGGCGGCAGCTCCAGATCTAAAGATCGTTGTATTTCGGCGACGACGACGGTGCCGACGGTGGTGTCGGCGATGGTGGTGGTGGTCAACAGCGGTAGGAGGTAAGAGAGAGAGAGAGAGAGAGAGAGAGAGAGAAGAGAAAGATGAGAGAAAATTTATCTTGTGAGATAAGATTGATCAAATATGTCTGATGATTTAAGTTATAAGGTAAAAAAAGTGGTTCTTATGGTTCTTAACTTTTTATGGTTTTCATTTGAACCTTTACCTATAATATATATATATATATATTATATATATATATATATATATATAGATATGGGCCGACCGGGAGATTTTGGAGGCCCTGTGCAGATTAGTAAAAATAGGCCCTAAAACTTGAAAAATCTGAAAAGATGTGAAAAACAATTTTAATTTTTTATTTTCTATTGCAACATAAGTTAAAATTCATTCAAAATAACATAAAAAAAAACACTTGTCTCTACTTAAAAAGTGTCATCCTCTTAGTATTGGCTGAAACAAAATTTTCAATTATTTCTTCATAAATAATTTTATCCAAAAAATTCCTCTCAATTGTAATCAAAGCCAATCCATTAAGCCGTTCTTGTGTCATTGTAGATCGTAAGTAAGACTTTAATATCTTCAATTTGGAAAAACTTCTTTCTGCAGATGCAACAGTAACAGGAATGGTTAATAAAATTCTATATGCAATAGATGTATTAGGAAAGCAATCAACACGTTTTAAAAATTTAGAATATCTATTGCTGTCATTTTTTCTTTAGGTAAAAGATGTAGAAGTAATTTTAATTCAACATATAAATCATTTCCATCAATATCTGATTGTTCATCTTGTTTAAGTGAAGTTTCAAGAGTCTTACAACATGACTTTAAGCTCATATCAAATGTATAAAAGTTATTAGCATCATCAAAATTATTATCATTAACATTAGCTTCATCAAAATTATTATCATCAACATTAAAATCATCTACATTAGCTTCATCAAAATTATTATCATCAACATTAATATCATCTATATTAGCATCATTAACATTAACATCATCACTATTAGTTCCATTAACAGTAACATTATCAACATTAGCATCAATATTAATAGTTTGCTTTTCTTTTGTTTGTTTTATTATAAACTTATCCATAGATCCTTCTTGAGCTTTAGTAGATTCTTCAATTTTTTGTTTATTTTTACGTTTTTCATATCTAGATTCATATTTTCTTATTCGAGGAGGCGTATTAAAGTCTAAAGCAGTAAAGGGTAAAAAAGGAAAGGAAACACCTGATTTTTTGATGTCTTCTCCGTTTGTGATATTACAGATCTGTAAATTCCTTGATTTCCTTCTCAATTCTTAGTTTTCAGTTGTCAACAAATCCAATACACTGCATCTGTGAAAATATAAATAAATATGAAAAAAATTACTAAAAACCAAAGAGGTAAAAACTAAAAACCATTATCAATGTAGAATATAGAAAATCATTGAGAGGATAAAGTGGTATACCTTCAGATTGATTTCCAGATTTCTGAAAAGGTGAAAAACCGAGAATTTCAGGATTTCTTGAAAACCTAAGAGTTATCACTATGTTCTACTGTTCCGGAGTCAAGGTCTGTCGAGAGGATCAAAACCAAAGTTTTCAATTGTCAAGAACTAAAGTTTATGTAAGATATTCTAAAAAACTATTCTGATTTTAAAGTACCTTTCTTTTATTCTGAATTGATTCTTAAATAGACCTATTCGGCGATTTTGATTTTGACTTTTGAAGCCACCTGGTGCAGATTCTAAAAACGGATTCTAGTTATCGGACTCCTTGTGGTCGAATTCTGATTAACTTCTAGTGCTAAGTAGAAGTGAGATTGTGAGAGAAATAGAGAATCAGAGAGGAGAGATATCACAGAATGGAGAACGAAAACCAGAATGAAGAAATCAGAGAATGAAGAACCTTAATAGAGAATCGTTGCGTTGTGAGAGAAATACAGAATCAGGTTGGATTTTGAGACCGTTGCGTTGCAGGATACGAAACGCGGAAACGGCTTCCTTGATTTTTGCTAATACCGAGAGAATAGAGGAGAGATTGAAGATCGATTGACGATTGATTGCCTCTTTTTTTTCCCGCTCCTTGATTGTGTCGGCACTTCTGGAATTCCCTATTATTTCCTCTTGTTTGGGCTAATTGGTATTACAGGATTACAAAATTTTGTGGCCCTGTGCAGATGCACCAAGTGCACCCCTTAATATCCGGCCCTATATATATATATATATTATATATATATATAATATATATATATATTATATATATTATATATATTATATATTATAGGAGTCTCTTTTCACCAGAAGCAGCAATGACAAAGCTGCTGCGTTTATCCCCTTTCCGGTCTTCTCCTGTCGATATCTCCCTCTTCGATCTTATCGACCAACTCCGTCTTGTGGTTGAGGTTTGAAGCAGAAAAGCATCTTCTCTCTGTCGGTTCTCCGTAAAGGAGTCTCTTTTCTACATTAGAGAGGGGAACGACGTCTGTGGAAGGGTGGAGGAAGGCTGAGGGAGGCAAGGTCGGTGGTGGTGTACAAAACCAAAGACGAAAGAAAGGGCATCGGTACCTGGCTGATTAGACCATAGTCAACCATATGGTGAACAAACCAATTTCTAGGGTTCATATCGACTGCTACCTGTTTGTTGAAACCAAATAATTAAAAGCCGACATAAAACGAAATTGGAAGAAACTGAAATAGTGAGAAGGAGTAGTAGAAGTCGACCTCATCGTTCGATTGGAAGGCTGAGGGAAGCAAGGTCGGCGACGGTGTGTTGATGGGAAGCTGGAGGTCGAAATGGAGAAAACAAAGACGGAGAAATTAATCAGAAGGAAGGTAGAAGAAGGTTGGAGAAGGGTTTCTTGCATTTGATTGGTGAGGCGAGGCAAGGCGGTGGAAACATAAAACGACGCAAGGCGGTGGAAGAAAGATAATAAGGGAGGTAAGTGTAACATTTTTTGTGGCAAATGTTTAACACCCAAAGAAATCTGTGGCACAAATCAAAATCCCAAAAGTTTACTGTTCACCACCATTTTAGCAAACAATAGTATATATAATGTTTAGTTATAACTTTGCAACCAAAGTTGTTGCTTTTTATCAAATATATACGTTAATTCATACGATTTTTATTTTTATTTTTATACAATAATACATAAAAATTGATATAGATTTGTTAATTATTTATAACAAAGTCATAAAAATATTAAAAAAACACTTTGAAGTTTAAAAAAATCAGTTAATTTAGATTTCAGTTTATTTTAGTAGCCCGCAGATGTTAAAAAAACAAACAGTCTTCTTTTTTCAGACTGCAGACGTTTGGTCCACATCTTCTACTGCAGAGGTCTACAGATGTGGTCCGCTTTGCCTCGGAAAAAACAAACAACACCTTAGTTTATGTTTTATTGCAAGGTCGTAGAGATACAACTATAAACTATCCGTGGTGCCTGAATAAACAGGTGTGGTTAACTACCTACCGTCCAATCAATATTCTCAATTAATTTCCTCCGGCCGTCGCCTCCTCCCATCCTCGCCATCACCCACAAATACAATCCTCCTTTCACATCAATGATCAATCCCACCCACTCCTCCCTTCAACTCAAGTTTATTCTCTAAATCAGTAGCCTGTAGACCCCACTTTCTATCTCTCTATATATCTTATCCCTTTTCTCCGTCAAACCCGCCTTTCTGTCTTTTAATTTTCTCTCATTTGCCAAACTTTCCCCTTTTTTTCGAAGACATTAATCGAATCGGAAACTAGACAAGAAATTCTCACAAATCTGATTTTGATCCTGTGCTACTGTTTACTCCCTACTTGAAATGCTACAAGAATTTGGCTGAATTGAAGAAAGAAATAGTTAGAAGAGTGTAGAGATGGTGGTGAGGAAAGTTGGCAAGTATGAGGTTGGGAGGACGATCGGTGAAGGAACCTTCGCGAAGGTCAAGTTTGCTCAGAATACAGAGACCGGTGAAAGTGTTGCTATGAAACTCCTCGATCGAGCTACCATAATCAAGCACAAGATGGTCGACCAGGTGAATTTCTTCTTCTCTGTATCATTATACTTGTTTGTGGTTCATTTGATACGCTGATCTGAAAATTAGGTTAAAATGGGTCAATTGTAGATGTTTCAATCGAACGCTAATGATGATGTTACTTTCAGTTATATAATTACATTGCATGATTAGTCTTTGGCCAAAGATTTTAAGTTTTGATTAGGGTTTTGATCTGCTTTTTGGTACGTCTGCATACAGAGGTATAGCTCTCCAGAAAATCATTGAAATTCTACTGGACTACTTTTTAGATACGATGTAGCTATGACTTTCTTAGTTTCAGAAAAAAAACTTGGTAACTACAATGAATTTAGTAAGTGCTACAAATAAACAAAGCTGTTGCCAAATACTCTTACTTTGAGAGTGAAAACATCATGGGAGAAGGGGGATGAAGTTTCTGCTTTGAAAAGAAAAATCAAAACCATATTCGTTATGGAAGAAGGCTATAGTTGCATTCATAGTGTTGGAAACTTTCTTTATGACTGACATGTTTTTGTACACAGTTGATGACATGCAATGTAACCTAAGACTTGTGATACTGCATAAGCTAGGAACTTTAACCATACATATACTAGTGCACAATATTTACTTGGTTTCAACAATTAACCTCTTTCATAATCTTAAAAGCTCCCTTAAAATTTATTCTTATAATTGCATGCAGATCAAGAGAGAGATATCAATCATGAAGCTGGTTAGACATCCCAATGTTGTTCGGCTGCATGAGGCATGATCTCATAATCCAGGCTATATAAGCTGTTGTAGTTTAACTTTCTGAAAGAATCATCATCAAGTCTGTTAACTAATGTAAAATTTTGGTTTAGGTGCTAGCAAGCCGCACAAAAATATACATAATTTTGGAATTTATCACAGGGGGTGAGCTTTTTGATAAAATTGTAAGTCTCCAGTCTCCATTCTCCAAGCAAGGTGAAATGGATGTATTTTGGTATTATCCCTGGGCTCATAAATCTAATGCATGTTGACCAGGTCCACCATGGACGCCTCAGTGAAGCAGAATCTAGAAGATTCTTTCAGCAGCTGATTGATGGTGTAGAGTATTGCCATAGTAAAGGAGTATATCACAGAGATCTGAAGGTGTTGGGTACTTTTTCAGGTCATCATCTTCAATGGATTCTCATCATTTTGTTTTACCTCTTTACTTTCCTTTTGCAGCCTGAAAATCTTTTGTTAGATTCCCAAGGAAATTTAAAGATTTCAGATTTTGGACTCAGTGCATTGCCTGCAGAGGTAAGATTTGGAATACATTCTTTTGGTATCGTCCATCATTAATTTATATATTTGCAGGGTGTCAGTATCCTTCGAACAACCTGTGGAACTCCCAACTATGTTGCACCAGAGGTAATTACAGGTGCAACTTATCCTTATTTATTATTTATTTTCTTCTTTTTGGTAGTGTTACCTACATGCATATTTACCATTGCTTCATTCTTTGTTGATGGTGTGGTTTAGGTACTGAGTCACAAAGGTTACAATGGTGCTTTGGCTGATGTGTGGTCATGTGGGGTCATCCTATATGTACTGATGGCTGGATACCTCCCATTTGATGAAATGGATCTCACCACATTGTATAATAAGGCATGTCAAGTTATTACTATTATTATTATTATCATTATCTGTCTTGTTGGATTTTCTTTACCAAGGTAGAATAATTTTGGTTATTTGTTTGTTTGTGCAGATCGATAAAGCTGAATTTTCATGCCCATCATTTTTCCCAGTAGGGGCAAAATCGTTAATTCATCGAATTTTAGATCCAAATCCTGACACTGTGAGCATTCCATCTTCCATCTTGCATGATGTTGGTTAGTACGATTACTGTTAATTAATGATGTGATGGTTATGTGCAGCGTATTGGTATTGAAGAAATAAGGAATGATGAATGGTTCAAAAAGAATTATGTCCCTGCTAGAGTTGTTGAGTATGAAGATGTTAATCTGGATGATGTAAATGCTGTTTTTGATGAATCAGAGGTAAAAGGCAAAACCTATTCTATCACTTATGTCAATTTCATATTCATATTCATATTCATATTATGGTAACACAAACAAACAATGAAATGCTAAAAATAATACTAACAGCTGTATATCATGTATGATGTATGTATGTATGTATGTATGTATGTATGTATGTATGTAGGAAGAGGGAGGTGGTGATGAGCAACACACAGATGAAGATGCATGTCCTCTGTCTCTTAATGCATTCGATATGATAATCCTGTCTCAGGGATTAAACCTGTCTTCCATGTTTGACCGTGGTCAGGTTTGAATTCTATCTACCCCACCCCACCCACAAATCTTAAATACATGCATGCAAATAGTGTTTCAAAATTATATGTTGAAAAGTAAATTGATATCGGTTTTTGAAATTAGGAATTAAGAAAATGAAATTTATATGTGAAAAGTATATGCTTGCTTGCTTGCGTTTGACAGGACCCTGTGACGCACATAACTCGGTTTGTTTCTCAAAAACCCGCAAAGATTGTGTTATCAAGTATGGAAGTTGTTGCTCAGTCGATGAGCTTCAAGACACACATTCGAAATTACAAGGTTACACACACACACACACACACACACTATCTTTACAGTTTACATACAAAATAGATTATTAATGATCAATAACAATGAATGGGTACAATAGGAATTACAATCTATAGGGAAGGAGGAAATGCTTACTTTCTTTTTTTTTATTATATTATTTTCAGATGAGAGTAGAAGGGCTTTCTGCTAATAAGAAGTCCCATTTTTCCGTGATCTTGGAAGTGAGTTTTTCATCTTAATTACTTACGGATATTATTATATATAGCAAGAAAGCAAGAAAGCAAGTAATGAATTGTTGAAAGCAGGTTTTTCAAGTGACCTCCAATTTTGTGATGGTTGACATTCAGAAAGCAGCAGGAGATGGTGCTGAATACCTTAAGGTGCTTCTTCTTTTATTAATTTTAAGGGAGTTTTTTTTTAGGTTGAAAATTTTTACTCTTCTTAAATCTTAAATAATAATATAATATTGGTGGCTGCATGCAGTTTTACAAGAATTTCTGTAACAATCTTGAAGATATTATCTGGAAACCACCTAACGAACAACAACAACAACAACATGGGAAATCCAAGATCACCAAAACAAAGAGCAAACGCCGTTAGATCCGTTGGTTAGTCGTTACTCATCATCGATTGATTTCTTTCTTTCTTTCGTTAAGTTAAGTTAAGTTTGATTAATTACACATATTATTATTATTATTATTATTATTATTAATTGGTTCAAAATTTTCGTTGTTACAGGAGAGGCCAGGCCAACACTGTTGTAGTTAAACCCATCTCTTTCTACCTCCAAAAGAATGTAAAAGATCAATTTGTGGTTGATATACATTTGTTGTAGACTTTGGTATTTTTTTTTTCTTTTTACTTAGAGCGTGGTAATGAATGAGATAGAATACAATACAATACATGGTATGGTATTGTATTCTTTTGTTTGAGAAATAAATAATAATACCAAGTGAAGTAGCTAGGTAATGCATTTTGTTTTGTATACCTACGAACTAGTTTTGGCTTTATTCACTATTTCTTTTTCTACTCCAAATTGACACCGACTTTCCCTTCCCTTCTTTTAACAACTAACAAATACTTGCATATATATAACAACAGAAGTAGTGGCAAATCATTAAAAAAAAATCCACAAACATTTTGAATTTGAAGCACCAAAAATTGACCTAAAAACTCTTGTTCACATAAACTCATCTCTTAGTAGACAACATAACATAGAGTTACATATTGTTCAAAACCTAAAGCTTGACGAGCACCTGGTCAGCGGACCGTTTCTTGACAACACCTCTGGAACACAAGTCATTAAGCAACTCCAAAGCTTCCTGAGCTAAGCCTTCATGAGCCAAACCTTCTATCAAAATGGTATAAGTGGCTTCTGTAGGCTTACACCCCTTTCCAACCATATACCCCAAAAAGTCAATGGCCCGGTCAGTCTCTCTAGCCTTACAAAGCCCCAACATCACCGCATTATAAGTCAACACATTTGGTCTCACCCCCAACTTTTCCAAATCATAAACAAACTTAATCGCTTCTTCCACTTTCCCTTCCCTACTCAACCCGCTTACAACCGATGAATATGTGATTATATCTGGTTGCAGCCCTTTCTCCTTCATCTCATCAATCAACATTATTGCACGCCCCGTTTTCCCAATCTTTGACAACCCATCAATCACAGTGTTGTAAGTAATCAAAACAGGTGAACACCCTTCAAAACTCAAATGGTTTAGAATCTCCACAGCAAAATCAACCTTCCCATCTTTACACAAAGCCGTGAGCAAAGTGTTGTAAGTCACAATATCCGGATAACATCCACGGGACACCATCACTTCCAAATACTCAATCGCTCGATCCATCTTCTTTTCTTTACAAAAACCATGTAACAAAGGGTTATAACTCAAAGAGTTCGGGGTACATCCATGTTTAGGCATCTTCTCTAAGATGTCAATCGCACGCCCTAACAGCCCTCTTCTACACAAAAAGTTTATCAAGATGTTGAAAGTCACAACACTTGGAGAACACCCTTTTCGAAGCATGTCACCCACAAATTTCTCAGCATCCATCCATTTACCCATGCTACACATGCTTCGCAAGATGATATTGTGTGTGACCACATTAGGCTGGCAACCTGTAGATGGCATATTGTTTAAGAACTTGATAGCATCATCTAATCTGCCTTCTTTACAGAACCCATTGATAAGGACATTGTAAGTCACCACATCCGGCTTACAACCTTTTGTTTTCATTTCATCTAAAAGCTTCATTGCTTGTCCTACACCACTCATCTTACACGCAGCTTCTATCAAGATCGTGTAGGTGATGACATCGGGGTAGCATTGCTTCTGCATCTGTCTATCAAGAACTACCATTGCTTGGTCTAGTTTTCCTTTATCGCATAAAGAACGTAAGATTGTGTTGTATGTGACGACATCAGGTGCTACAGACATTTTATCAAACACGTTGAGTGCTTTATCGATCTCACCTGCTCTACAATAACCACTGATTAAAACGTTGTAAGTTATGACATCTGGTACAGCTCCGGATTCTTCAAGAATCTCCATAACCCTAGTGGCTTTTCTTGTCTTTCCTGTTCGGCAAAACCCTCGAATCAAACTCGTACATGGAATGATGTCTGGGATGTCACCTCTATAAGCCATGTTCTCTAAATACTTAAACCCTTCCTCCAATTCACCATTCCTAATCAGTCTTCTGAGATGGTTATTATTCTCAAACTCCTCCAAGTTTCTTCTGGTATTAACCTCGTTAATCCCGTTCAATTTCAAGGCTTTCTCCCCATTCACAGCCTTCCCATTCGGAGTAAATGTTTCCGACTTTGAAATGGCCGACACCCTTTTAATCTTTTTACTCAAAAACCCATTTTTATCATTCAGTTTACCATGAATTCCAGTAGCTAAAACAACCGAATTACGAACCCTAACTCTACGATTTCTAAAGGTTTTTGTATGGACACATTGAAAGGAACAAAACCCTTCATGGGTTTGCTTTATGGACACAACTGACTCCATATTTACTTTAGACCATAAACTTGTGGTTACACGCTTCTACTGGATGATTTAATGGAAAACGATGAGATTACTGACTGTCCGTGTCAAGAGCAGAACGGTGTACACAAAGAAGAAGAGAGCTTACTGGTGTTTTGCAGATGGAAGAACGGTGAAGAAGGTGCCGCCTAATTTTCTTATCCGAATTTGTCGAGTGAAATGTCGGACGACCTGTTTATGACTTTATAGCTTTATGTTCATAAAATCTAGGCTTTCTACTGTTATGGGCCTATGGCCCAACCGCCCAATAAAGTTTGCAGGTATTTATACATTAAAGTTTATGTACATAATGCGTACATGATTTAGATAAATTTTTAATGACACGAAAATTAAATGAATACCACACGATGTTTTTTTAATGATAAGAAGTTAAGAACAATGAAACAAAACCTTAGAAAATAGTTTACAGAGTTACTTTGTGCTTTTTTATTTGTGTTATTGTTTTAAAGTCTTACTATAAATGTTGATACCTCATGATAAGAGCGCAGTGGTTAAGGCACGAGATTTCACCAAAAAAATCATAGTTGATCTCCCACATAAAACATTTAGATATGCGGTTTATCATTTTTTTACTATAAATGTTGATAACGTACAAATTGTATTATGAAAATGTAGCCAATGCTTTATGTTTAACCAAAAAGACCAATAAATCTACACAATATTTTTCAATCTTTATGACATTTATACAACCAAATATGATTCACAAATCCACGACCTTATTAGTTATTACAAGAGGAAGCTATCAAACGACTTCAAATTTTCGTCTCAAGAAACGAATTCGATAATAATATGGCTTCAATTTTTTTAATAAATATGTCTATTGAAGAATTGAGAAACCTAGATATTTTGTCTTGATGGATAAAAAATGAAGCACAATTAATTTACAGGTCTCGTCGTCATGACCCTTGATTACTAATCGTCCAAGGTAGTTTTAGAATATATTTTTTTGTAAGTGGCAAGGTAATACCAACATCGAGGTCAAGAATTACCCCCCGATCAATGGAATCCCAATCAATGGAAATGTGCATGTGTTTAAGCGATTACTAGGATACAAAATTTCGTTTTATTTGAAGTTGAACTAGAAACAGTTGGACAACAAATACATAAAGAAGAGGTTGCATTTGAGATATTGCCCCCAACTATATAAGTAGAGGAGGAAGGCACTAATTTAGACAACGAATGAGAACAAAAGACTTGTAAAATAACGAGATGTGAAGAAAAAATTGATAACATCAATAACAAAATGTTGTATTTCATTTCATAGTTTTATGCTTTTGCATTTGGTTTATTTTTTTTCTTTACGTATTTATAATCAAATATAATTGATTGAAGTTAAATAAGTGTCGGAGATTATTTTGGTTTTAATTTGAAGAAAAACAAAAATCACGAATCAAACCGAAAATCGATTTTTTCAATCCGATCTAACATCCGTTACAATAGGTATATGCATCTGATATGAATTTTGATAAAATCTTTTTGAACACGGATCTAAAAGATCCAAACTGATTTGAAATCAATCCAGATTAGTATAATATTAGGTTATGTGCACCTTTTAGAGCCACAAACCAAGGGCATGTTTGGTACATGATGTTTGAGAGTTTCTAGCGTTTTGTTTTGAACAAAAATCTTCATTTGACACTACAAACTTTTAGCGTTTAGTTTAAACACAACGCTACAAATATAAAAGTTATCTCACATATCGTTTAACAAAACACTACCAGTTACCAGCTACATACTATTTGCTACCGGTCCGAAAACACTTTAAACCAAAAGGCCTGATACACCGGTATCAAAAAGCTATGAAAAAAACATACACCTCTATCAAAGATGTATACACAAAAGTAAATAAGTCGTTCAAAAAAGAAGTCACAAACTAAAATAAAAGATACCTTGAGAAAATGAAAAATAAAAAATATGCGTATATTAAAGAGATACATTAAATCCACGAAGTGGCATAGTTTCTTGAAATTCTCATCATCAAGAAAAACACCAAATCCAGGAAGTGACTCCTGTGCGAAAGTGTTCCGTGTTGGAGCGATCGATTTCACAATCACAGGTCCTTTTCAGAGCTTTCAATCCTTCATTTCCGTGTTTTTTCTTGTGTACCATACCAATCTCATCATACTCGTATGATTTTATCAGGAATTTGGATCTTCTTGTGACAAGGAATTCAATTCGATTCTAGAATTCGAAGTTTGCAGATAATTTGGTAGCGCTGTGGGTAAGATACCTACCTTCAGCCGAGACGATGGACGTAGGTTCTTATCGCGCGACAAACATTTGCAGTCACTGGTAATAATAGGGTTTCTTTTTTCTTGAAATTTGTTGCGTGATTTTGAGATTTCTTATTTAATATGATATTTGTTGGATTGCATATGGGATTTTATGAGGTTAAGTGAAACAGTTGTAGGCATAGAAAGATTTGTGTTTGGTGCGAAAAGTGTTGAGGTTTTTAAGCCAGGGTAGTTGTTAACTGACGATTTGATTGTCTCGTAAGGCATCTATATCTGTTATATCCCCATTTGAAATGTTAGATCATACCAATGGGACCTTGAAATTGCAAGTAATCTTTGATGGTTTCATATATATATATATATATATATATATATATATATATATATATATATATATATATATATGATGACATAAAGACAATCATGGATTCCAGTTGATGTCTTGTTTTCCATATCTGTTGTTCTAGTTTTTATCTTGTTGGTTTTTTTGAAAATATATACTGTATATTGTTTGGATAAGTGTTAAGAGTTAAGAATATAAAACTGGTGAAGAAAAAAAAGGAGAATAATAATGTAAGCATGATTGTGCAGTGACAGAGCGATTCCATCTTCGAATATCGATCTGCATTATTTTCACTGCTCGCGCAATTTAGAAAAATGTAAACTCTGTGATGAAATGGTTCCCAAAAAGCACGCTGAAGAGCATTACTCCAACACCCATGCTCCGGTATGTAGTCAGTCAGCTTATTACATATGATTTTAAAAAAATTAATAAGTGAAAAAGAAACAAGAGCTGAGAGGACACACACACACACACACACAGGTACCGTGTTCATTGTGCAGCGAGAGCATGGAACCTGAAAGCCTGGCTGCACACCAACGTGAACATTGCCCCAAACGGATCGTGACATGTGATTACTGTGAATTCCCTTTGCCTGCAATCGACTTATTTGAGCATCAGGTAGGTAACCACCAAAGCAATAATCAATAATCAATCTTTCCATATAAATAAATACCAATAATCATCATATTTCTTTAAAAATACCATTACCAGGAAGTCTGTGGAAACAGGACAGAGCTCTGCAATCTGTGCATCAGATACATCAGACTACACGAGAGAATGGCCCATGAACTCACTTGTAATGGCGTCCCAGATACCACTGCAGAAGCTTCCAGGTTTAAACAACTTTTTTTTTTCCAACAAAAAAAATATATATATATATATATATATATAATATATATATATATATATATATATATATATATTTAATAAGTTTTAGGTTTGAATGTTTGTTTGTTTGATGTTTGTGAATCAGGGCGAGGGAAGGTGAAAGAGAGCATGGGGGTGGGGCAGCTAGAAGAAGGCCGCGGCCCCCACCACAAGAATTCTCTACAAGAAGACTTGTATTCACGATAGCCATAACTGGAATAGCTGTTGTCTTGGGCTCTCTCATGTTCCAGAGGAAACCACAAAATACTGACCTCCGTTAAAACTTTTAACTCTTAAACCAACCCTAAACTCAATTTCTTTCTTTTTGCACCCTTCTTTTCTTTACTGTAAAAAAAAGAGAAAAAAAAAAGATCTGTCATTTCCCATCCCCATTTGTTAAAATATGTTTGATTTGGTTTTGCATCTCAGATATTCATTCCTGTTCACGGACCTTTGACCTCATTTTACCAACCAAATTTATGCTTTCTTATATTATAATATTATATGCTTGTTAATAACGTTACTCTTTGCATTGTGTCTAGTAATTGAATCATGCAAACATCATTCTTTCAATAATGTATTTAAAAAGCTGCATCTATTGCTGCAGTTGATATATCATATATTGAAAATTTAATTATACCTTCAAATACGGTTTGCTTGTATTTCTGTGTGTATACGGTATAAATATTAGAATTGGCTTTTGGTGTATCAATGTACAAACTCTTCTTAAACGAGACCAACTCTAAGGGTGCGTTTGGTTGTGGAAAATTTTTCAAAAAAAATATAAATTTTGAAAAAGCGTTTGGTTCGTTCAGTTTTCCAAAATTTTCCAAGAAAATAAAAATTTTTAGGGTGCGTTTGGTTGTGGAAAATTTTCCAAGAAAAACGGAAATTTTGAAAACGCGTTTGTTTCGTTCAATTTTCCAAAATTTTCCAAGAAAATGAAAATTTTCAGTTTTTCAAATTGTATGTAAATTAGAAAAGTGATTTTTACAGTTTTTCAAAGTTTTCCAAATTTCTAAGATGGAAAATGAAAACTCCCCCGATTTCAACCAAACGCGTTTTCTAAAATTTTCATTGAAAATTGAAAGCGAAAACTCAACTCTATTTTTTGAAAACATTTTCTTAGAAAATGAAAACAGTTTTCCACAACCAAACGCACCATTAGTTTTCTAAATTGTATGTAAATTAGAAAAGTGATTTTTAACGTTTTCCAAATTTCTAAGATGGAAAATGAAAACTCCTCCGATTTCAACAAAACGCGTTTTTTAGAATTTTCTTTGAAAATTGAAAATGAAAATTCAACTCTATTTTCTGAAAACATTTTTTTAGAAAATAAAAACAATTTTCCACAACCAAACACACCCTAAGTCACCAGGTTTTCACTTGATGAACTAATGAGTTACATACTTAGTAGTATGGATATGGACAAATATATATATATATCTGTTGAGATTAGATGAAGATTAAACACACACACATATATATATATATATATATATATATATATATATATATATATATATATATATATATGTGTGTGTTTAATCTTCATCTAATCTCAACAGAACTTAACATATTCAGACATATACCATACCATATAGTATACCTATCTGATGAGAGTTTAGTGATTGAGGTGCATAATATTGTTAGTATTTTGTTATTTACCCCCCTCTCATTAGTGTGGGTCCAAATGGTGAGGTTTGCTTAATTATTTTATATTAAGATACATACCATACATTTCATGGTTTTCATAATGCCTGCTAGCTTTGCTTAATTATTTTTGGATGTGAAATTTTAGATATTTTCATTTACATATTCCAAAAAAAAGTACTTCTCATACAATTTTAATGAAAATAACTATTAACATTGGAAATTCATGATAAGATCTGATGGAAAAAATCTTGATAGAAAAATAATACCAAGCTCACAGGTTATTACTAATTTATATCATATACTTTGATTAATATTTCATAAAAATCATATGTTTTGTTCGGTTAAACTAGATTTATAAAAGTTCTTATATGAAAGTCATTTGTTATTTAATACTCATTTATATACGGATAGGAAAAATTATCATTTAATTAGTTCAAACAGTTTTTTTGGATTAATAAAAAAACAAGTTTAATATATAAGATATTTTCATTGTACTATGGCCTACTTAAATAAAAAGATTTATTAATCAATAATCATATTTCTTTTCTCTTATGATAACTTTGTTTTAATTTAAATTATCAAATTGGTGCTTAGGGTAGTTGATATAAATGGATTTAGACGAAACCATGTAATCAATATGATGATAAACGTATAGCCGTATAGGTATGATACATACTGTTTTTATAGTTTTAGTGTTAAACTATAATTGAAGATGGTATGAAAAGTATAATTACGTTTTTATCTATTTTGCTAGTTATGTGTAAAAATTGTATATGAATTTGGGTTGCGTAATTAGATATCTCAAAGTTAAGACTTATTAATTTAGTGTCCTAAAAAGATAAGTGGCGTTGGTACTCGTGGTATCAAATATTCAACCGACTTTGAGTCCCTTGTTATAAGCAACACAATTCTTTCTTTTAACTTGATTCAAAATAGAAATTATGGTTAAATGAATTATTAATGTATCGAGTCTCATTGATTTCTTCTGTTTGTGCAACGAAGTAACCTTTTTATTGTAATTTTCAAGGTTCTAAATAACGTTAGATGTGACTTGACGTCAATGTCAAGTCTTGTTGGCGAGAGCTAGAGTTTCAGCACGTGTTGTTATCCTAAACTTGTATTCTTATCTTATAGTTTCCCTTATCATAGGATAGTTAGTTGTATCAGATCTGTATATATAGCCTTGTACCTTGTTCTTTATTAAAAAAAAGAAAAATAAGAAAACTCTGGAAGTGAATTCCACGAATCCATCTCTCTAAATTTAACATGGTATCAGAGCCTGGTTACTGATCCATCGAATTGCGGAAATCTCAATCGAATTGAGGAGATCTCTCAAGGCGAAGCAACATGGGCGAAGGCGAAGAAGGGTCAGGTCCATCGAATTAGGTCATCGTCAACAATGTCCAAGATCCTCCATTTCCCGCCGGGGTCATTCTTGACGATAACAATTTCCCCCTCTGGTCTCAACTAATGGAGATGAGAATTGGGGCACGTAACAAACTAGGGTTTCTCACTGGTTCATCAGTAAAACCCACACGAACGAGAAGGCAATCGAAACATGGACTACAGAGAATAACAAAGTTAAAAGCTGGCTCATTGACTCGATGAGTCCAACTTTGATGCGGAGATTCATTAGGTTGAAAACAGCAGCGGAGATCTGGGATGCGGTGTCTAAAACCTTCTACGATGGAACAGATGAGACACAACTGTTTGAATTGAATCGGAGGTCGTTCAGTACTCGTCAGAATGGACGCCCATTACCTACGTATTACAATGAATTAGTAAGTCTTTTCCAAGAAATAGATACTAGGCTTGCTGGGGAAGGGGATTCAGTAGCGAAAACCCTTGCAGTCAACAAGGCTATGTCTAGGTTTCGAGTCCACATATTTCTGGCTGGATTAGATTCAGAATTCAATCAAGCAAGGAGTGAATCCTTGAGAAAAGATCCACCACTCACTCTTGAATCCTGCTATGCATACATCAGGAAGGACCACAACCAACAACAAGCTATGGATGTCAAATCAGTTGAACCAGATAGCGTTGTGAACGTGGCCACTCGAAACTATCAAACAAAGAATAAGGGCACAAACGAAAAAGGAGGAAACAATCTCTCTTGCACTCATTGTGGAGAGACAGGACACTCAAAGCAGAGGTGTTACGAGATCATAGGGTATCCAGACTGGTGGGACTTCACGAAAAAAACCCAGGAAGAAGATTGGAAAGGGCCAAGCTGCGGTGGCAACAACAGTGAGCCCTGAAACCCCACCCATTGCAGCTCACACATCAACAAACTCTGGTAAGTCTCACATTGACTTTAAAAAACCTGAATGGGTGATAGATACGGGGGCCACAGATCACATGACAAATAATCCTAATTGTTTATCTACTTCGAATACTCCAAAACAAAAAAATATATACACTGCGAGTGGAGGTGTTGAACTTGTCACAGCAAAGGGCACAGTTAATGTATCAAATTCTATGGAACTGGATTCAGTTCTTGTAGTTCCCTCTCTATCAATGAGTTTATTATCAGTAAGTCAAATCACTCAGGCACTAAACTGCTATGTGACTTTCTGGACGAATGAGTGTGTGTTTCAGGATGCGAGGACCCATCAGATTCGTGGTTATAGTACTAGGAGAGGGAGGCTATATTACCAGGAAGAAGACTATAGGAGCCAAGTCAATCATGTTGGAGTAGCTGAGTCAAATAAAGCCTTGGCGGTATTATGGCATCGCCGTCTTGGGCACATGTCGTTTTCATACCTTAGGAAATTGAAACCGAACCTGTTTTTGAATTTATTAGACAATGCATTTAATTGTGATGTTTGTGAGTTGTCAAAACATAAAAGAAGTTCTTATTCTCCTAGTGATAATAAAGCTACGTTTCCTTTTATGATAATACATTCGGATGTTTGGGGTCCAGCTCCAATTGCAACTCCAAGTGGTGCTCGCTATTTTGTTACGTTTATTGATGAATGCACTCGTGTAACATGGGTTTCTCTTCTTAAGACAAAAGATGAGGTGTTCAATGCCTTCATAGAACTCCACAATCTCGTAAAAACAGAATATAGGAAAAATATTCATACTCTCCATTCAGATAATGGAGGAGAATACATGAGCTTAGAAATGAAAAACTATTGTAAATCTAACTCAATACGACACCAAACCTCATGTGCAAGAACACCGCAACAAAATGGACTCGCAGAACGTAGAAACAGGTCCATTCTTGAAATTGTTCGCGCATCTTTATTTGACATGAAGGTTCCCCGTCAATATTGGGGTGAAGCAGTCAGATTGGCTGCATATATTATGAACAGAACACCCTCGAAAGTTATAGAGTTTGTTACACCGCTTCAGAAACTCCATGATATTATTGGCACCACTCAAAAACAAAACCTTGAACCACGAGTGTTTGGATATACCGCCTATGTCCATCAAAGTATTGGCAAACTTGAACCACGCTCAATTCGATGTGTATTTATCGGATACGTAGACCTGAAGAAGGGGTATAGATGCCTTGATCCAAGTAAAAATAAAGTGCATGTTTCATGTGATGTATCCTTTCACAAATCTGTACCTTACTTTAATCATGAGGGATCACTTCAGGGGGAGAAAGGCGTGGAAGTGACCCCTAATGAAACTATGGTATAGGGTATGAATGATGGGGATTTCCTTGCTGACTTTTCTGATGGCCTGGAGGCAATAAATGTAACGAGTCCTTCTGATTCTGATGTAAATGAAACAGAACCAACTGATATCAGTATGAACCAAACTGATACTAACACCAGTACTACTGATACTAACACCAGTACTAGTGAGACACAAGGTACTCAACAAGTAACTCAAGAACCTGGAGTAAATATACCATCAGAAAATGAAAATATATTCTATGATGGGTATATATCTCATGAAACTGAAAGTGATGAGGAAGTGTCGAATGCTGAAGACGTAAATACACCAAGGTACCCCTCTCGAAGCACACGAGGGAAACCTAAAAGGCAATATGAACCAGAATTAAATGCAAAGGGAAAGGATCCAATCAACAATTACGTATCACAACACCGTCTTGCTAAGTCACATGCTCTGTTAGTAAAGGAATTGGATGCTGTTACTATACCGGTGAATGTGGGGGAAGCCTTGAAGGATTCTAGGTGGAAAAAGGCAATCAATGACGAAATGGAGGCATTACAAAAGAACAAAACGTGGGACGTGGTTAACCCACCTCGTGAGGTTAAAATGGTGGGTTGCAAGTGGGTATTCACTGTAAAACTCGATGCAGAGGGAAAAGTAGATAGATTTAAAGCAAGGGTCGTAGCAAAGGGGTATACTCAGAAATATGGGATCGATTATAGGGAAACATTCGCACCAGTGGCAAAGATTAATACAATTAGAATTATTATATCTCTTGCTGCAATTGAAGACTGGCCATTGAAACAATTTGATGTTAAGAATGCTTTTTTGAATGGCATTCTGGAGGAGGAAGTCTATATGGAACCACCACCGGGTATCAATACGAATGGAAAAGTGTGCAAACTGAAACGGGCACTGTATGGATTAAAGCAGTCGCCACGTGCATGGTTTGGGAGGTTCTCTAAATTCATGAAAGAAATTGGTTATAAACAAAGTGATGCTGATCACACTCTGTTTGTGAAAAGGAGATCGAAGAAGGTGGCAATCCTCATAGTTTATGTAGATGATATGGTTGTGACAGGAAGTGATGAGGAGGAGATAAATAAACTTCAGCAAATACTAGCAGCTGAGTTTGAATTAAAGGATCTAGGAAATCTGAAATATTTCTTAGGAATCGAAGTTGCAAGGTCTAAGAAAGGAATATCAATGAATCAACGTAAGTATGTCTTGGATCTTTTAGCAGAAATGGGTATGTTAAACTGTAAACCCATTGACACACCTATTGAGGTAAACCATCAGTTGGAAATCACTGAAGATCAGGTCCCCGCCAACAAGGATCAGTATCAGAAGTTAGTTGGGAAACTGATTTATTTGTCTCATACCCGACTGATATTGCGTATGCTGTGTCTGTTGTGTGTAGGTTTATGCACGCCCCTAGCGAGAAGCATATGAATGCTGTTTTTCGAATTCTGAGGTACCTGGAATCATCCCCAGCAAGAGATCTATTTTTTGGAAGAAACAAAACTTGTGATGTAAGTGCTTTTACTGATGCTGATTGGGCTGGGGATAAGTCTGATGGAAAATCCACATCAGGTTATTTCACTTTTGTTGGTGGTAACTTGGTTACTTGGAGAAGTAAAAAACAGAAATTGGTCTCGAGATCAAGTGCGGAAGCAGAGTTTAGGGGCATGGTGAACGGGACTTGTGAACTGTTGTGGATAAAGCGAGTACTTAGAGATCTGGGAGTGAAACTAAGTGAACCAATGAAGTTGTACTGTGACAACGAGTCAGCAGTGAAGATTGCAAATAATCCAGTTCAGCATGATAGAACAAAGCACGTGGAGATAGACAGACACTTCATTAAGGATCACCTAGAACGGAAAACTGTGGAGCTGCCACATGTAGGTTCAGAAGACCAGCTAGCTGATATGCTAACTAAGGCAGTTTGTGGAAGAGTGTTCTACAGCTCTCTTGACAAGCTGGGAATGATAGATATACATTCTCCACCTTGAGGGGGAGTGTTGGCGAGAGCTAAAGTTTCAGCACGTGTTGTTATCCTAAACTTGTATTCTTATCTTATAGTTTCCCTTATCATAGGATAGTTAGTTGTATCAGATCTGTATATATAGCCTTGTACCTTGTTCTTTATTAAAAAAGAAAAATAAGAAAACTCTGGAAGTGAATTCCACGAATCCATCTCTCTAAATTTAACAAGTCTCAAGTTTTTTCAAGTCGTGTCGTTCGTAAGACGTGACTTAAGGCGACAATTTTGTATATAATTAATAAATTTATATACATTTTCTATTATTATTCATTTTTATATACACATTTGACTTAATGCGATATTTTGTTAAAGCTTGACGGCAAATACAAGCCTTGTAGTCATGACGTGCAATGACGAGCTTTTTAAAACCTTGCTAATTTTAAATAAAACATGTAATGATGTTTCTTTTCGAAGCTAAAATATACCATTGTTGACAACAAGTCAACAAAAATGATATTCCCTAACATGAAATCGGATAAATACTTTATATATATATATATATATATATATATATATATATATATATATATATATATATATATATATATATCCAATAGTCTACTTATTTCTATTGTTAATGTATGTGACAATGTTTTTATTATTTTTTATATAATTAATAAAACATATTTCACTTATGTTTAATTTATGCAGCTAACAATGATGTAAAATTTTTGATCGGTTAAACTAAAACACAGTTAGTTAATTGTATAATATTTTGGAAGAAATCCTTATATTGTTGGCTCATTAGAAATAAAATCTTTGACTTTATTTTGTTATGAAAATAACAAAATACCTACAACTGTTTATAGAAAATGACAACAAACCGCAATCATTTATAAATTTGACTTATAGCAGATAATCCATAGGAAATTCATTATAACTAGATGTGTTTCCCCTGCGTTGCGGGGGTTGGAAGGTGTTGCTTTTGTGTGCAACTATAGTACATCGACTTAATTGGTAGCCACAATAAAATACGTCGCTATTCTCTGCAATTCGTCTATTTGCAAACACGGTAAAAAAATGAATGTACATTGGTATTTTGTATTTTGATGATCCAAATTACAGAATACTAAACATTAAAATGAAAGTACATTGCCCTATTTTGGTTGGTATATGCCAAATTCCACCACCTGATGAAATTGCTGAAACAGTTGTGGTGTAAGCATATGTTCCACTTCTTCTTTTAGTTGATATGTGTTATCCCATCCAGGTGGAAGTCCTTCATCTTCATAATCTTTTTGCTCCATGTTTACGACTACGGTGTGACACATTAGTTCTTCCAAACCACAAAACATCCGAAACTTACCATGACAGATTATGGCGTGGTAACATGATGAAATTGGACCATGGAATTGGAATGAGTCATTACATTCCAATATCAATGAGGCATTAAAAAATGTGTCCAATTGCAAAACTAAATGACAATAAATTGATAAATAAATAAAATCATATTTTATATTTCACATCATGTAAATATATGTTATAAAACTACTTTCTCGATTTTACAAAACATTCCAGCAAGGCCTTCTTGTGTTTGGAAAAGAGTCACCATTCTGATGATTTTTGTTTGAAGCCCAACATCACCAAAGTTATTCAAAACACGAATTCTGCTCAGTTCATTAGGAATGGTCATGGTACTAAAACATTCAAGAACTATGACGGTTTTTACCCATTTAAATATAATAAACAACAACATACAAAAAAATAAGGGAGTTGAATTACCAGCAACAACTCTAAAAGCAAATCAAAAAATCCCTCAACTGATAGAAATTCTATTGTGTAGCCTTTCTACCTCCTTTCCACCAAAAAAAAGGAAAAAAAAGTGAACAAAGAAAAAAAAAACTAAAATTTCGAGTTTAAAAGTCTGGACCCACATCCATAAAGATTATAAGAACTCACCAGTAACTTTAACCCATTTACCGAAATCAATTTTGTTTGCGAATCGACCACCAATCTTCAGGAGTATAACCCAATATAACAATTTCACCTAAAAAGAATCTGGTGCATTTGGAAATTGCGTCGGATAAAGAAACACTCCCTTCAGCACCACCCTGGTGGAAGAACACCTGAAGTCCTCCAAGTTAGAAGATGTTTTCAAAAGGTCAGAAATGGTAATAGATCCAATTATAGCAATAAATTAATAAGAATTAAGCAATAATAATGCAATGTAGGCCTATAAATGATCGGATTTGCATCAAATCAACTAATCTTATCTACCATATAACTTTATTAAATTAGCTTTTATGTGACCCTTAACTAAGGATTAATGTTATGATTCATAACCATATTCCACAAAAAAAAAAAATTATGTAAAGTTGTTACTGTAAAGCATTTAAAAGTAATTTTGTCCAAAAAATAACTCGTATTTGTGTTATTTAAAGTTGTGTGACTGCTAAGGTCACTACTTACCATATCGTTTTGATGAATTAGTAACCGAAAGAAAGGCAAGGGCATTTTTGGTATTCTGAAAATCAGATTCAAGGAGTGTCGTTCCTTTAAAATCATTCCCTGCATATTTTGAGTAAAGAACAGTGTTCCTTCATCATCTAAAAGACCAGGTCCTACTGCAATGAAGCTTACATTAACCATCATTAGACGCAAAACAAAAAAATTCATTAATTTTTAAGATTTGAGTAAATGTGACAGGTGTTACTCACTGTGCCAATAGATCAAATTGTTAATGGATACCTACCCAAAATACCCCGGCAGCTGTCGTTTCCTCGGCTTCCTCGCCCTTTTATACAAAGTAGAAGATCAAATTAAGAGGATTTTATGGATACCTACCCAAAATACCCCTTAAGAGTTGTATGAATCAAGAGTATAAGGGTTACTAACCTTGATAGGGACTCTGCCATCAAGAGATTTCAAATCCGTAACATCTTCTATTTCAACAATACCAACGATGTCATCTTCCTTCAGTATGAGATGGTTTGACCCATTAAACTCAACTTCAGTCCCTGCATACTTGGAGTATACAACTGGGTACCAGTCTTCAAAATAATTATATAAATAGTCATTTAAAATTATCACACTGAAATAACCCACTACATACATTTAAATCTTGAGTTCTTTTAACATTAACAAAATAGTTAATTACCTTGACACCAATTTACACCTTGTTTTGCCTAATTGTCATGTCTTCTTCAACTGCAACATCACCACGTTGAGGCTTTGTTTTGCCTAATTGTGAAAGTCAGAAAATAACAACAAACTGTCTAATAGTTAAAATTATAGCTTAATAATGGTACAAATATATCAAATTATATAAAAAATAATAATAACATCTCTTTTAGCTAAAAAATAATAATAATATAAGTAGAATGCTGTAATCAATAGATTTTTAGTTGTTCAATACCCAGCCTGTTTATTTTTGACGACACTACCCCTCAAACTTTTGACGATGTATTATAAATATTAATTAGCATGTATATTGTAATTAACATATATGATTAAAAATACAAAAAAAAGTAACAAATACAACAAATGTAAATAAATCAGTAAAACTGATAATTAATTTAACAATAAAATACAAACATATCAGAAAAATCTATTATTCTCTCATTAGATTAATAATTTAAACTAACAATGGTAAATTACAAATTTATTATGTAAAAAAAATGAAAATAATAAAACCAAAATTTGATTTCTATTAAAAGGAAACTGATTTTTGAACCAATAGCTTTCATTTTCTATATTACCAAAGGCAAAAAAGCAAATTCTTCACTTCTTTTTATTCCGACCATAATAAAATTTTTTTGTTTGCTTGTGTAGAACATAGTCAATATTGTTAATGCATCTCTCATAGTCAATAATGTTAATATATATTCGTGAATCATAAATAAAAACACAACATAAAACTAAAAAAACAGATCCGTAATCTAAAATAACCATGGGGCAAAGAAATTCATGCAAAAGATATGATAGCTTGAATTTTATAAAACAAATCATAAAATCCTCCACCATAATGCAAATGAAGCAAAAGTCCCAAAATTGTTACGAAAACCATATTTAGAGAAAATAATGCTAACCATTTGGTGCTTAAATGAAATGCAACTTTTGTGGGGAAGGAAACAGTGGATCTCTTACCGTTACCCTTTACAGCTTGAACCCAACAGTGATTACTCAGTACAATTGACATGTCTCGGGGTGCCAAATATCTGTAAATCACAACAAACACTATAATCAGTAATCATATCCAGAATTTTGATGTTTTTTGGTGGGATTAGATGGAGATGAATGTGTAGCAGCTTTTGACTTCCATAATGAGATGGCAATCCTGAGGCATGACAAGTTGCATTATGCAAACATAACAGATCACTGACATTGAACCAACTGTAGAGGAAGAGTTTCCATTGCAACCTGAAATGAAGTTGTTTAATTATTTAAAGAGATAACAACACTGAAAAATGGTGAACACAAAAGTTAATCATATTCTCTTTATTTGTACTATAAGATTAAGAAGCAACATGAAAAATATTATTTGTTGTTAAATTTTATCAACTTATCCAACAGACACGGTTGGACATGTGAAAAGTAGGGGAAGTATGACATAAGTAGGCAGACAGATACTTCAACAAACATCTGCATCTGATATCTATAAAAAAGTAATTTCAAGATTTAAAAATGTTATGTTAGTAATACAAATTCATGAATGTTTAATTACCTGAGTAGTGTCAAGTGTTTTTGTGGCTAGGTTGTCATTCTTAAGGTCGTCAAACTTCAACATCTCCTCTCCACTGGAAAAAAATGTTTCCAAAATTACCCTCCATATTCTAGACTTTAAAAACACATACACATACTTTATTTATAAATATGAAATCTAAGTAAATTATTAGACTCAATTAGAATTTGATACACCGCATCTTTGAAAGCATATACAGGTTTCGCTTCTGAGTACACATGCGAGGACCGAGTACAATGTTTAGAATAGTTAATTACTCCATAAGCTCAAAATACTAATAATCAGATAATTTCCAAATTCCAAATCCAATCTGATAGTAAAATAATCCATCTAAAATGCAGAAGCTTACCAGAATCCAACAAAGGATTAACTTGAAAAAAGAACCGAGCAGCCTGACACGAACACCATCTGAATAGCCTAAGCTCACAACAAATTACTAATTAAATCAAAGATGATTTACAACCCAATTAACAAAACCCATTGAAAGCATGAAACAGAAAGAAAACTTAGCTGCAAAATTTCTTATGAGGAGACTTTAATTCCTCATTCCCCCACAGCTCTTCATTCCCCTGACTGTAAGTAAACTAATTTTGATAATATTTTTGATATTTTTGTACACAAATTATAGAGATGTAACTGAAAAAATGCAAAAAAAATATTAGTTGTTGTGTTTTGATTAGAATCGTACTGTGAACTTAAATCAAAGGCTGGCCCTAAATCCAATAAACATGAAAAATGATAGTGGAATCTCTGTAGTTCATCATTACCAGTAAAAACATGATGAAGAAATGGAAGGGTTCCATGGAAATCATAGCAGAACACCAACTCAAATTAAGCACACTCAAAATATGGAGGTAGTCGGGAATGGAAATGGGCAAGTCGCCAGAGAAACAACCTCCGTCGAACACCCTGAAGACCACAACAGGCAGCAGATTGATTCCGGTTAGCATGAAAAGCGTGTTGGATTGCGATTGCAACTGTACTTCGGGTAAATGGACACTTGAATCGATTAGCGCCAAAGAAAAGAGGCAGTAAAAGGTGGATGGTTTTAATAGGTCTAACCTGGGCAGTGGTCATCGACAATCCGAACATAGGTAACTGTCCGATGGCGGTGGTGAATATTCCAGCCAGTTATCATACTGGCCATCGATGGTGGTGATGAACCACCCTTCGCCATGGAAGCACCTCTATGACTTTGCCCTAGAAATCCATCGGGAGCCAGACATCAACCCTAAGCGAATAGATAGGTTGTCGATTTGGTACCGCAATGACGGTTTTGGAGAGGCGGTGAGAATTATCGAGATAGAGATGGAGGGTTTTGGAGAGGCGGTGGGAATTATCGAGATAAACAGAGTGAGCGGAGGTATTGTACACAAAATATAAAAAATTGAGAAAATATGACCCCTAAATGAAACCACCCAGAATTGTATCCACACATATAAATGAAGGACCAATTTTGCCAAATATGTAGGAAGTTAACTGTAGCTAAGCAAAGAGAATTTTAATATATATATATATATATATATATATATATATATATATATATATATATATATATATATATAATTGGAACTTATTAATAATAAAAGTCATTTTTATTTTAATAGAAAATTACAAAATATTGTGTTATTATTATCATTATCTTATAGTAATAATACTATATGCTTTAGATATGACAAATAGTATTATATATATATATATATATATATATATATATATATTTGTCTAGTAGAGGGTATTATCATAATATAAACCTTATCTATTAGCTATATGTAACAAATAGTAGATATGGTGGATAACCTATTGACCCATGTTCAAATCCTGACACCACTCAGCCCTTGTGGTCATGGAGGTTCGCCTGCAGTGACTCCAGGGCATGAGACAAAGCCTCATATTTGCAGCGGGGGATTAGTCGGTGCGCGAAAGCTGGCCCGGAAACCCTCGTTAGGGAAGTTCTCTTTCCAAAAAAAAAGAATATTTGCTTAATATTAATTTTAATATATTCTTCTTTTCCGACATATGATATTACTTTACTATAATGTTACAACATTCTGCCTAATAAAGGGTATTTATTATTCTATATATCTAACAAAAGATTTCATCATTATGAAAATAATAATTTTTTTGATATTTTCGAATCAAAGTTTAGTTTTACACTAAGACAAAATTCTATATCAGGCAAATAATATCTAAAATAATATATTTGTGAGACAAAGAGAATATAATAAGATTGTAGTAAGATATTATTCTGTTTTTCTTTTATTAAAAAATGTTATGGTTTTATCATTAATGATCCCAAAATATATGGACTTTTATGATAATTACGGACTAATATCCCAAATGTGTAAATGTTTACCCATTTTTTGGTCATTTTCTGTAAACAATTTGTAGTATTTTGTCCTTTATTGTTCAAAAAAATCAAAAATAAAATGACAACTTAATCGATAATGTGCTTAGAATACATGGAACCACAAAACATTTCCTTATTTCTTTCTACATCTCTCTTAGATGTTTATCATTTTTTTCTCCTTTGATTCCTATTTCCATATGGATTTGGTTATTTCTCTCACATTCTATGCAATATGTAATTATTTATATTTTCATTCTTGAACGGATTTTCAAGGTTAAATAATTATCCGAGGAGAGTGAACGCAAGTTCACATAAGAAGAGATAATACCGGTAATAAATGATTGTCTGGTTTTTACGAGTAGACAATCTGAACTTTCTTAATTACTTGAAATAAATTTTCCTTATGGATTAGAAGTCATCAATATTTGCCTCTACTATGAGATTTGACAATAATCAAAGGAATAAGGAATTATCAATGTGGGTGGATCGAAGAAAAGGAACGCATCAAAATAAGTCGAAGATAATGTGTGGTAGCAAATCTTATGCTAACATTGTTGAAGGTGTTGTTGGTCACTGGAAAGATAGAAAAGAAGACTCATGTGAAGGAGGATCCGTTTAGTTAAAAGTGATATTTCATAGCAAAAAATATATAAACCAAAATCGAAACCATATTACATAGTCATCAAGATTAAGTAGATCATATCTTGATTTATTGACCATGTCGTCTTCTTTATACGGAACTTGTATAACAAAATAGAACCTATGTGTGACGGTCTTTCTTAACAAAAGTCACATAGTTTCTTTGTAATCATTTTTTTAATGATGAGGATTAAAGATTGCATAAGAGTTTGTTGTCATTGGGGACTATCTATATTTTATACTCAAAAGAATATAGTGACCATTAAACTTTACTTATGTCGTACTTATGACACTTAATTAAATACTTACGAATAACAACGTAACTTATAAAACATATAATGTTCATTATTATTAATTTCTAATATTTAATTAACAATCTCTAATTTTAGTATTATATGGTTGAAAGTTTATTAAATGTTCTTTAGGCTCACAACTATTCATTTACATTTTATTATCTTTAAAATAATCTGGTCCATCTTATGTATAAGTATCGAAAAAAGGCATATTTAATCATTTAATTAAAAGATGACTAAATCATAATGATTATAATACCGACACACTCAATGCCACATATCAAATGTAGATGAAAATGACATAACTATTGCAATAAGGTATTGAATTCATGATAATGATAAAATTAACAATTTTATTTTACAGAATATAATAACATAATGTATGGATATGAAATAAATAGTACAACAACAATTATGACCTAATATATTTACTATTGTTTCTGAGACTTGACAAACAAATAATCCGAAGATTAACATTGTGAACTAATATCGAACCGTTAGTAAAATCAAAAGCAAAAAAATAGACAAATAATGTTGATAAATATATGTCCGATCTTTGTAAATAAATAATATTATTATTACTTAATTACCAAGTTTTGTCCATAAATCAGACTGATCTTTTGCGATTAGATATGATCATAAGAAAGGTAGAAGAAGACTGTACTGTTGTCGGACGAATTAAAATACGAGACTATAACGTCCCAAAACTCATAGTAAAATTTTTGATTTTCAAAAAATCACTTTGATAAAAATCTCAGGTCAATAAAACATTTTTTCCCAAAACATCAACAAATCAGAATATCAATACATCTCTCAAAATATCAAAATCCATGGGACGATATGCACAATCACACCTTCGTCTTTCCCTGATCCTCTGAAGTACATGAAACATTGAAATCAACAAATATAAGCCAATGCTCAGTGAGTTTCCTAAAATACCACACACACACCAAATACAAATACAATGCATGCAATCATGAGCCTTCAGTCTGCTTGGACCGCCTTGCAAGACCTACAGTATGTATGGACCGCTCTCCTGAGCCTACAGTCTACTGACCTGCCTTGCAAGGCCTACAGTAGCTGGACTGCTCACCTTGGACCTACAGTATTAACCGTACTGCTCGGGCCTATTGGCCTTCAGCACACAGTTGGCCCGCCTTAACCCAACCACAACATGTCGACATATACATATAAACAATATCAAGCAAACACAGGTAATCAGAACACATATATCTACCTATCATACTACTATAACATAACAATATCCTAAACCCGAGGATACGTAGCATAATCAAGTGGGTCAACCTTGGTGCCTTAGACCCATAGGCATAGTGAGAAAAACTCACATCAAAGTCAAGCATATAATACAATAACGCCCTCCCTAGATAAAAAAACGACACCACGAGTCACCTATAAGATAGTAGGAGCTCAACCTCAGTCTAAAGTCCAAACTCACAAGTTGACTAAAAGTCAACTAAGTCAGAAAGTCAACAAGTCAGCCCCATGGTCAACGGTCAAGTCAACATCCCCAAAACCCTAATCAGCGAGTTGCCACGTCGTGGCCATCCATTGGCCATGTCATGGCAACGTAAAGACAAAACAGACGGGTCCTTACCCAGTTGCCATGCCGTGGCAACCTAAGCCACGCCGTGGGGACTAGTTTGAACAACTTAACATATTAAACATTTTTCCAACGATTCCAAGAGCTCCAAAGCTCATATTTGGCCCTTCCCACGGTCTTGATGGATAAATTTTCCAACTTTATCCATTAAGACATCTCAATAAGTCAAGATCTCAAACCTTAAGTCCTTAAAGGCAACTCAAGTCATGCAAATACCCATTAAGCACTTAATCATTAGAGTTACTCTTCCAATGTTTCAAGAAGGGTTTCCTACCCTAATGGACCATAAAAATCTTAGATTTATGGACATGCATGTCCAATGCATGACCCTTCCATTTTAGGTCAAAAACATGGCAAATATGTACTCAAAGCTTGTGCATGGGACCAAAACTCCAAGGATCCTCAGATCTGGAACATATAACACTAAGATGACCACAAGGATCCATAAAGTTGCCAACTTTATAGAATCCAACCTTCCAAATTTCAAAACCATGAATATTAAGGGAAAAAGGCCTAGATCTAGAAGCAAGTGACAATATTGGATCTTGGAAACTTATAAAGGTCCAGAGAATGCACAAGGGAAAGATGATAAGACTTGCTTGACGAATCCACACTCCAAAGCACCTTCTTCTTCTTCTTCTCCAAGCTACTAAAAACACAAAAAGTACCAAGAATCACCAATAGAGGCTAGGATTAGGGTTTCTGAGTCTAGAGAGTGATGGAGGTTGGGGATGAGCAAACCCTAGCCCTCACTTTCCTATAAATATGGCTCAAACCTGAAAAATTAGGGTTTTAGACATCAGGCAGTTGCCACGCCGTGTCCAGAATACCGCTACGCCATGGCAACCAAAACATGACACACGTTTTATATCGCTTGGGTACGTCGTGGTGGTGCCTCCACCATGTCGTGGCAACCCCAAAATCATAATTTACTTAATTAAAATATACCTCAAGGTCCGGATGTTACAGAGACAGAAAACATAAACTAACCTTAAGAATGCTAATTCTTGACTTGTAACCTGAACATAATGACTCATGTTGTAACATCCTAAAATTCAAGGCCAAAAATTTCATTTTTAATTAGGTTATTACATAAAACCAAAGTGTGAATAATCAAGATATAATATTATGAAACCATATCAGAGTATAATCCCAAGGATCTCGTGTGCGGAAAACATAGTGTGATGCGCTGCGACCAAGCCGGCTCCTTTCCTCTTAAACAAAGTACCTGAAACCAAAACTGTAAACCGTAAGCACGAAGCTTAGTGAGTTCCCCCATCATACCACATACCACATAACACCATCTGTATCTATTAACCGGTAACTGCCATCGGTATCTTTCATCCGGTAACCGGGGACTATTTCACCCCTACCACTATCACATAATAATATGTCATAAACATACTGATCACGTACTAACATCATAAACATGCTGATCACATACTAACATATCATAAACATGTTGATCACATACTAACATATCATAAACAGACAG